TTGCTCTAGCTCAGGCTGGTCTTGAACTCGTGAGCTCAGGTGATCCGCCCACTTCAACCTCCCAAAGTGCTGGGATTATAGGCTTGAGCCAGCACACCTGGACTTTAATGACCTCTTAATTATCTGTCTATTGTACGCCTGCTGGGAGTAGCTACCCGGCCTCAGCCCAGCAAGGCCAGATGCTCCAGCTTCTCTGCTTTTGAAGAAGGTCCCCCAACCCTGCCAATCCATGTGAATTTGAGGCAGGGGCGCAGAAGGGCTTCAGATCAGACTAGGGGCTACCTGTACCACTTTGGAGAGGAAGCAATTAATGAAGTCCCGGGGAGATGTGGGGTCCAGGGTGGCTTGGTGGTCGTAGACGCTGAGAGCAATGATGTCTTTCATGGACCTGAAGTTGTGGAAGATGCGTTGGTGTGACCCCGGCACCCAGTCCAGGAGACTCAGGAACATCTGACAACCGAGGAGAATGGGAGGGGTTTGGAGGAGCAGGCAGGATGTGTGTTGGAAGGAAGCTAGTGGTAGATCAAGTGGGTCTGGTAGATAGCGGTGGGGTCTTGAAGGGAACCAGGTTCTGAAAGAGTGGCAGTTGGGCTGAGGAGAGTGAGAGGGAGGGAAGGAAGGCTATGTACGCAAGTGACCCTGTGTGGCTGGGGAATGGACAAGGCCATGAACTCGGAGGCGGGGTCATAAAGGAGGCAGGACCCGGCAGGGCCAATCGCAGTCCTTTCTGTCCCACAGTGCCCCTGGATATTGTGGAGCCCCCACCCTGTCCCCAGCTGAACTCAATCTCCTGACTTCGCCCCAGCGGCTGCTCATGATTTGACAGTTGTCACTGATGGCAGGGATCAACGTGAGCAGGTGCTCATCATAGTAGTGGAAGCGTCTTCGGAAGAGCTCTGAACAAAGAATGTTGGACGCTGAGTGACTCAGCGCAAATATGGGGTCGAAGGGCTCTCCTGAGGGTGAGGAGGGTGGAATGGGTTCGGGCAAAGCTTAGGAGACACAATGTGCAACACACAAGACCGCAGCAACAACATTAATTTGCACAACATCCGACCCAGCCATGACAAGGTGTCTTGAAGCACAGAACACAGGCACGTGACCACAACATGGTGTACAACAACCCTCAAAAGTATAATATTTGGCACTGCAATAGACACCACATAACCCACAACTTCCTGCGTTTCATCAACAACAAGAGAATACCCAACAAGAGAACTGGCTATTCTTGGTAACACAACACAGAACATACAACATAGTACAAGGCAATCACACAACACATGACAGCAAAAGGCCACAAAACACACAACAGGTATGACCACAATAGATAGCACATGTAACCACACACAGTGACCTAGCAGGTAGCCCAGAAACAACCTGATACACTAATGAGTGATACCAGCATGCAGCCACGTTATCCTGCAACACAACACACAACAACCATACCTAGCAACACAGCAGACAGCACAGAATGCATGATGTGACATCACAACACATACAATCAAAGCAGCAGAACAGATGACACACAATACACAGCAACACAATATCAGCACAGCAGATGACACAGTGCAATGCCACATGCAGTGCCTTACAACACTACACCCAGAAATAACCCACAGCAACATGATACCTAACACCTGGCGTCCTGACAGCTGAACAGACCATAGAAAGCAACACCAAAACAATAGGTTGCAATATAGCAACAAGACAGTAGCATAGCCCAGAAAACCAAATCTGGAATTAGATGGACATCATTTGAATCTTGGCTTGGCTTCTTAGTCTTGGTGGGACCTGGGCTGAGTTCCCTTCTCTAAGCCTCTGAGCCTCAATTTTCTCATCTGTAAAATGGGCTTGCTGATTGTCCTTAACCTCATGGGGCTGTGGCTTCTAGAATCTAGAGAAGGCAGGGAAAGGAATTCTCCCCTAAAACTTCCTGAAAGAAAGCAGCCCTGCCAACCCTATTTTAGATTTTGGACCTCTAGAACTGTAAGAGATTAAATTTGTGTTGTTTTAAGCCACTAAGTTTGTGGTAATACATTTCATCAGCAATGAGAAACTAATAGTTGTTACTATTTCATTTATATCACATTATTTAATACACATTATTTGATCACCTGCCACATTATTCATATTTTTACCCAAAGCCAGCAAAATTAGAAGATCAAATAGAAGGACCATTTAGCATTCTGTGTCTCAGTTTCCTCTCTTATAAAATGGAGCTTATGGCTCGGCGCC